GCCGGAAAATATCATCGCGCAGCACTAAAGACTCTATTCTACAATAACTCGGTGGGCGGCATACAGTGTTGTGGCGTTGTAGTGGATGGGTGCTGCAACATCAAGCACTGAAATGAGTTTTTATATTATTTTAATCTAAATATTCCTGTTATCCATCACTCCTCCCCACATTCATTTTGCTCGACCGAGAACGAAAGAAAAGAAGAAGAAGAGAAGGGGAGAGGAATAGGAGAAATGAAGCTCTTCAGGGGTATTTTTTTCGATACTCTTATACGAATTTTGTTCTATTTAATATAAGTAATTATTCTCTTACTTTTATTATTGATGATTTTGATTTCTACGAATTTTATTTCTCAAAAATTTATCAAAAATATATTATCTCCTAATTTCGTAAGCATTCATCATATAACTTTTGAAATGTTATAGATTTGATCATTATGAATAATTTGATATGATTTTATTATACTTTTATCGATTAAATATGTGCATAAAAATTTTTAGGTGAAATGAATAGAGAAAAATATGCACTGAAAATGGGTTGAAAATAATGTACTATGATTTGATATGATAATACTGAGATGTAATATGTGCTGAAATGCTTTATATGAACTGAAATGTAATAGACTAGGCTGCAAACGAATCGAGCCGAGTCGAGTGTGTGTGTTCATGTTTGAGTTCGTTTATCATTAGCTTGTTCAAATTCGGTTTGTGTTTGATTCGAGCTTTATTATTTGTGTTCATGTTTGGTTCGTTTAATTTAAGGGTGTTCATGTTTGATCCGTTTAATGTTTATGGAACTTTAAACAAACAAGCCCTAACGAGCTATGTTCGTGATCATATTTAACAAACAATCTATTGAACAAACAAACATTAAATTTGTTCATGAATATCTTAAATAAACAATCTAGCAAACATAGACAAATGTGAAATGTCTTTTGTTCAGAAAATTAAATTTATAATAAAATCATTTTTCTATTTAAAATGAAAATATTAATCTTTATGAATATATTTTTAAATGAAGCTTACATGTTGCATTTCTCTCCATTCGAGCTTAGTGTCGAACTTGTTCACAAACTTCAAATGATATTGTTTGTGAACATAATGAACCAAACAGATTAGTGTTCAAGCTTGTTTATTTAAGGATCGAGTATTTAAAATGTTTTTCATGTTTGTTTGTCTAGTTAGTTAAACGATCACAAATGAGCTTCAATCGAACCGAGCATCGAGTAGCTCGTCAAACGCTTGGTTCGCTTGCAACCCTATGTAATACTAATATTGGTATTAATATGATAAGATAGCACAAAATATTTGTGTATATAGATAGATAGATATATATATATATAGTTTTATATCTACTCAAGCGGAAATCTTTAAACTCTAAGGTTGACCTCCATAATTTAAGTTTACCTTCAACTC